TCTCTCTGTCTCTGTCTCTTGTCTCTTTCTGTCTTCATATCTGTTTGTCTTTTTGTCTCTCTCTCGGTCTCATCGGTCTCTATATCCCCATCTCTCTCTCTCTGAGTCTCTGTCTGTCTAACTCTTCCTGGCTCTGTCCTTCCCCACCTCTCTCTCTCTTTTTTTCTGTGACACTCTCCTGGAAATGCATCAGAGACTGAAGTGGCCGGATTTCAAGTGACAAACAGCACTACACACAGGATCCACCCCCCTCCCACCGCGGCTGCCTTCCTCCCCCACACCCCCTGTCACGAAGAGAAGCCTATTGTGTGGGGCCCAGGGAGTTCGAGCTGAAGGGCCCGGGGGTCTGCGCCTCTGACTGCTCTGAGCTACTTCCCCATTGGCTATGAGCAGCGTGTGCTGAGCAAGGGCTGAGTGACAGGGGGAGGCTCTAGTCCATAAAAGGGGGGCTGAGGCACCAGAACTGCCATTCTAAGGGGCTTTGGCTGTGCGCACAGCTGCCTCTTTGGCACCTCCTTCTGAGCCGGAGTCAAGATAACCCCTGAGTCTTGGACCAGTCACCTGCTGCCACCACCCTCCGACCTGCTGGGCCTGAAGCTGCCCAGGGACAAAGAGGAACACAGGTAATATCCAGAGGGTGCTGCAACCCTCTCTCTTGGTTTTATTTATTCTTTTCCTGACTCTCTGAACCTGGAGAAGGTGGGAGCTTGGGCTGGGGAATTTCAGGTTTGGGTCTGACTGTCCGGCAGAGGTAGTAAGAGTTGTGCAGTTAGTTTACAAAAGCCAGATCAGTTCGAGACAGACTGCTCTTCAGAATTTCTTTCTCTGTATAGCCCTGTCTTGAACAGGTGGGTTGCTCCTTCCCAAGAGGACCACCCCTCGATTTTGTCTGCGGGGTGCTTCTTCTTCTGGCAGGCTGCCTCCCCACAGCAGTGTCCATGTGAGAGCAGGATGCCCTGGGTGAAGGAAATGAAAGGTTTAGCTCATCAGGGTAATTTTAAAGGTCAGTGATTCTCGCTGGACTTACAGAACAAGAGCCTGGGGACATTAATGAGATGTCAGAGCTCTGGCATTTAACATGTATCATGTACATCAATGTACAACCAAGTTCAGCCTTTTCATTCTTTTTGGATCGTGTTTAATTGCTGACAGGGTGCTGGCTTGAGTGGCTTCCTATGATGTGATTTTACACAGAAGTGAAGTTTGGGGTTGTTTTGTTGGGAGGGAACAGGCATAGAGAATGATAGCATGCCAGGAGACATAGGCTTAGCAGGATGTTTCTTGTCAGTCTTACTTTGAGAGGACTTGTTGCTTTCTTGTAGATTATAGGCAGAGGAGTCAAGGCTAGGTGGGGAGGAAACTCGGATGGGAAAGACATTTGCTCTGGAAAAAAGATATCTGCATTCAAAGAAAATATTATTGAATCTCAAAGTCTGATTTGCAAAAAAGGCTGGTGAACTTCAGGGGTGGTGGTGGGAACCTGCTGATGACTCCCAGATTGAATAGTAAATTCTGTGACCTCAGACTTTTTCCTGGGTATCTTTTGTGTAGAATCTCCAAGCTTTACAAACATTCCTTGATTAAGCCTCCAAGCTTCCCAAGAGAAACAACCTCTTCAGGTTATTGGATTTGATTTCAGTTCCCTTCCCACAGACCAAAAGTCTTCATTACCATTTTTTTCCCAAGGGTTGGGAAAATATACAAGTCTTGTCTTTCTAATTTGACAGGCTTTCCAGTGAAGATCTGTTGCCAAACGTTACAGAATGTCAATCCTCTTCTCTGCATTTTCTCCCCCTGCGGCCCAGTGCCACAGCTGTACCTTCCATCTCCTTTCCCTCACCTTCTCCCCCCCACCTCAGTCCCACCCCACCTTGTCTTTTGTTCTATTTTTACAGGTCATTTATCTCCAGGTTTTGAGATCTGCGTGGGGGAGCTGTTGCAGCAGCCCTAGCCGGGTGAGCTGTGCCGCCTGGGGGAGGTTGCTGAAGGGATCTCAAGCCCACTGCTTTGCCCCAGAGGAGCTAGAGGTGTGATGGGTGGCAGGTGAATCCCTTGTTTCCACTATAGCTGGGAGGGGATACCACAGAGACTTCTTACCAGAATCTAGCATGTTGTTTAGTAGAGTAGGCAAATGGACCAGCTCTGAGGCTGGTCCCCTTAAGCATATGGAGAAGAATTAGGGTCTTCAGGAGCCAGGAATTTTTCATTTGACATCTAAATGGGCATCTCACAACACCCAAGACCGTGTTGGGTTCAAGTCCCAGATCCACCACTCATTTGCTGTGTGACTGGGCACAGGAGCACCCCCTACTGAGCAATTGCTCCTCTGAGCAATAAGGACAGTGATTTTACCTCCTGAGGTTATTGTGAGATTCTCATGGGGTACAGTAAGATGCCCGGCATTTAGGTACTCAGTAAATGCTAGTGTGACTCCTCAAGTTTTCACTGTTCAAAGTTTCAGAAATGGAGCCATCCCCTCCCCCCAGCCTATCATCCCACTCCATCACGCTGTGTGTTACATCCAGGAAATATGATGTAGTGTCTAATACTTCTGTTTGCGGGGCCAGCACTCCTCTCCCTGCCCTCCCCTTCTCTCCACACCAACAGAAGACATTATGTCTTCAGCTCCTGCCTTAGGTTTGAAGTGTCTTCTTGATTGATCCTCTCTCCACACCGCCCCCCCCACCATCCCCCACTGCCCACCTCTTGAGTCATTCTTGCACAATTATTGTATTTATTAGATGTCTTCCATCTTCCAAGCAGGATCAATAGTTGGTGATTTGATTCCATCGCATGTCTGAGAAAGTGCAGTCAGCTAGCTAATATCTTTCACCATTTCCCCTCATCCAAGCCCATAAATGTTGGCTAATCTCACTGGATCTGACAAAGGGCTAAAATGATTTCACTGCGACAGAGTTGGCCTTTGTGACAGGCAGTAAACATCGTTGGAGGCACTCAGGTAAGCCCAGGATCAGGCCCTGGAGATGGAGAAGTGTCCCTGGTTACTATGAAGTTAGATGTCATTAATCCCTCCAGCCTGGGTCCAGATGGATGCTCCTGGGGGCAAGGCAATGGCCCAGAGCCATGAGGCACATCTCTTGGCTCAGGAGGCCTTTCCCTGGATCTTTCCAGCCATCCCCCTGGCCGGAGTGGTTACGGCAGGCCACAGGCTTGCTCACCAGGGGCAATGTGTTCATCAGCATTGGGTCCCTTGGCCTATTATTGGACAGTTTGATTTAACCTGACAAGATCTTACAGAGCAATCATTGTGTGATTGGACCTCTGGTCCACTGGCCACTAGAAATACAGGGCAGAACAGAGGGCTGAGGGAGAAGGGAATTGGTGTTTGTGATTCACATAGGAGGCCAACCTCCTGATCAAGTCTCTCTGCTTTCTCTCCATCCCACCTCTCGTCCCCTCTCCTCCGCCTTCTTCTTCTTTATACTTTCTCCCTCTCATTTCCATTCACCCTCTCCCCATCTCTGCTTCTTCTCTGTATTTTCTTTTCCCTCATGGCCTGTCATCTTACTCTCTGCTTCTCGAGGCTCTTCATCTCTTTCTTTTCATATGCAGCCCTTGGCCACTCTCTTTGCTTCTCATCCTCTCTTCCCTCTGTCTGTCTTTTCACCTCCATCTCTCTGTCCACCCTCCACTGCTTTTCTCCCCATCTCTTAATTGCATCCGATAACAAAGGGTCAGAATTCCATAGGAATCCTGCTCTCAAAAAGCATTCTTTCAAAACTATACTTAATGATCCAGTCATGACCATGGTTTGCAGGGTGGTCCCCCTGTCCAACCTCTAGGTTGATGAGCCATTCTTTGTTAATGACTCTAAAGGCCTAACAAAAGTGCTATTTTCCAGTTTGGGGGGATTCTGTTAGCCAGCCCACTGGAGACCCACAAAGGTGAACTTTATGTATTTTCAAGTAAGGTCAAACTCCTGGAACAGTCTGGTCTTCAGGACCATGATCAAGCCTAGAGTTCAGGTGGTTTGTGGAGCAGAGCCTCAGGCTGACGCTAAGCAAGCCTGCTCCCTGTGGCCTGGCCTCTTGGCCCAGTCATTTTGCTTCTCCAAGTCTGTTTTTCCACCAAGTAGATGGGCTAATAGTGCCCAGGCTACCAGATCCTGCTAAAGGATGTTGTTGAGATACAGGCGCCTTGCTGTGCCCTCAGAAGGGCATGAGGAGGACTCAGAATCCTGTCTCAGCTACACACCTGCTTGGGCCTTGGGGTGGGGTGTGGGGGGCTCTGTCACAGGGTCCTCACTCTTCCACCAGGAACCCGAGCCTATAATACTAGCACCTGCCCTGGAGGGTCCATGGGAGACTGGGGTCTGGCCCAGAGTGGCAGCACAGTGCTTGCTGGAGTCATGGCCTGGGTGTGGGAGGCTCCAGTTCTGTCTCCATTTCCCTCCTGACTCATGATGTGACCTTAAACAAGTGACTGCGTTTCTACCTTTTCCCATTTCCTCTTCTATCAAATAGGGATAATCATATGCGATAAAGTGCTCAGAGAGATAATTGCGATGTTAAATCAAGCCATTATTATTCCTTGCTGGCTTTTTAAATGAAAATGCTCGCTGCTCCTCAGAGCCCTCTGACTATAAGGTAGAAATATTGAGAGGGGAGAAGAGGGCAAGCAGTCCCTTCCCTTTGAAGGAACTCTGGGCCCTTGATGAAGAAAGATCTATGGTGCGCTGGCCTTTGTTGGGACCATCCAGGGGCCCGAATGGAGCCACGACGGGGAGGTGACATGCAACCCACTGACAGATGAGAAGACGGGGGCTTGGAGAAGGGGATGATTCCTCTCTGATTTCCCCAAGAAAATCAGCTTCAAAACTATTAGAATAATTAGATTTATAAAATGGCTATAAAATAATGAAAGCAGGGGTCAGCAAGCTTTGTCTGTTAAAGACCAGACAGTTACGCTTATGGGCAGTCTGGCATCTGTTTCAATGCTCAGCTGTGCTTTTGTCACAAGACACGCTGTAAACAAACGGGATGGTGTATGAATCAGGGTTCTCCAGAGAAACGGAAATGGTGGGATGTATACATATAGTGAAAAATTTATTAGGACTGGATCATGTGATTATGGAGGCTGATGAGTCCAAAATGTCCTTTTCCCTTAGGGGAGAGTCACCTTCCTCCCCTGCCAGCCACTGCTTTCCTGGCTGGGCTGTCACACTGTGCCTGGAGGTGGTGGCTGAGGAAATGCTTCCTAAACTAGCAAGTGCAGAGGTTTCCCTTTGGGAGACCCTTAGGAGGCTCCTTCACCATAGACTATGCAAGCCCCCCACCTCAGCCCCCTCCCTGGGGTCTGTGCGCTGACTCACTGCCCCTCATTCAGCAGACTCACTTCCGCATCTCACACAGGTGAACAGCCAAGTTCCTTTTCTCCTGCCTCCTCCCAAGTCAGGAATGAGCTGGCAGGGCTATCTCTGATGTATGGCTTCCAAGCTAATCCTCACAGCAAAGGCGAAAAGGCTCCCCGGGGGGGTGGGGGGGGGGACGGGGACTCAACTGACTCAATAATTTGTTTATCCTACACAAGGAAGGAAGCAGGATTGTTTAGGAAAACCTCAGGGCTGATGTGTTGCTGTTAGACACCAGAGAGATCCATTCGGAGGCCTAACTCTCCCCCTTACAAGCCAAGGAAACTTGGGCAAGGAACTTCTCTCCCAGCCTCAGTCTTGTCCCACATACAGTGGGTATGCAAGCGTTGAGTGTTGTGAGGGTGAGAATAACGCGTGTAAAGTGGTAACACATGGCCTGGCACTGAGGATCGATGTGACCATGCACTCTTAACCCATCAGTACATAGTAGGGTCTCTACACGTGGCAGTTAATTCACTCAACACCTCTTTTTCTTTTGTTTCTCCAATGTTCGAGGTCGTATGTTATTACCCCTTTTTGCCTTTTTCTTTTCCATCTGCTGTAGCCCGACTGAAGTTGGAATGGATCCTTCATACTCCCCCTGTTTCTTCCTCTACCCCCATCCGCTCTTTCTGTCTTCCCCTCGACAGCCTTGCCTCTCTCTCCTCTGCTCCTGTGTCTCTAGTCACTTCCCCCTCTCTTCCTCCCTGTTTTCTGTCTTTGACTGGTTTTCACTTCCTCCCTGTCACCTCCTTCCCTTTCTTCACTCCCTTGGTCTCATTCCCCTTCTTCCTCTCTCCCCTTTCCTACCTGCCTCTTCTCTTCCCCCAGCCTGCCCCCACCTCTCCCCATGGTTTTATTAACATCTGCTGAATTTCTTTAGCAGGTATTGGTTTTAGACATCCTGTGGACCTGTGAGGTTTCTCTGGGGGCACAGAAGTGTGAGTCAGAAAAATTCAAACTGGGTTTCTGAGAGATCCAGGGTTGCCTGTTATTCATTCTACACATGTGTGCTCTTCTTGTTCCTGTTCTAGCTCTGCATTCGGCGCAGGGGACATCATCCGTTCATTCATTCATTTAACAATCTAACTTCCTTAGTTTTCCCATCACATTAGAATGAAATGCAAGCTGCACGTTGGCCTGCAAGGGCTGACACCATGCGGCCTCTGCCCACGTCTCCTGTCTCCTCCCTTATGCTGTTCCTTGTCATCCTCACACACAGCCTCTCTCACCTCAGGGCCTTTGCACTTACAGAGTCTGCCCTGACAGGGAACTCAGAAGGAGGCAGTTGTGTGATACACAGAGAGCTGTGAGCAGTCAAAGGAGAAGCCTAACCTAGACAGACTTCCTGAAGGAGGTAACTAAGTTTGAGTTTTAAGAACAATGAGAGGCAGGCAGGTCAGAGGGAGACGGGAGTGTGGAGGTGGTGATAAAGATGCTCCATGTGCAAAAGTTTGGGGGACAGGGCACAGAGGGCATTTCTCATAGAGCTGCAGGTGATGTGGTCAGGCCCAGGTCAGACGGTGCGCACACCCAGCCTGCCTGCGTGTCCTTGCTGGGGTTGCTTGCTTAGATGTGATCTCTCTGTGCCTCTACTTCCTCACTGTAGAATGGGGAGAATATCAGTCCCAGCCTTAGGCGGCTATTAAGAGCACCCCTTATACTGAGACACATACAGGACTCAGCAGAGGGCCCAGCACGTGGTAAGCCGGGTCAATGGTGGCTCTCCTTGCCAGGAAAGCCCTGGACAGCCTGGCTAAGGGGCAGGTCCTCTCAAAGGTGATGGAGAAGCCAAATGCAGGGCAGGGTGCAGTCAGACTGGATTCAGAATTGTACTCTGGTTGCCTGTGGCGGGTTCTCGGGGAACAAGATTAGAGGCCGTTCTGGAAGCAGGAGGAAGGAGCTGGAGGCTGGGGTGCCTTGAAGGAGCTGGGGCCATACCTCATGTTTAGGAAGGTGGGCTCTGGAGCCAGACTGACTGGGTGCAAATTCCAGCTTTTCTGCTAACTAGCTGTAGAGTCTTTGCAGGTGTCTTAACTCAGTTTTCTTGTCTGTGAAGTGGGCATGACAATAGTACCCACCGCACACAGTTGCTGTGAGCATAAATGAGTTCATTCATGAAAGTTACTCAGAATATGAGTGCTCACTAACCATCAGATCGGCTAGAATGATCCTTGCTGAATATAAAGGAAATGGATGAAAGGAAGGGATGCTGTCACTGTATTTGCATGGGACAGTGAGATCTCAAATCCAGCTTCCTGCTGTAGCCACCTAGCAGGAAGCTTCCAGCCAGGAGTAAGAGGGCGTTGCTGCTGCCCATCCCCAGTGGATGAGCAAGACCTTGCTAATCTTGTACCAGGCCAGCCCAGCCATCGCTGATAGGAGGAAAACATGAGCTGCTTCTTTATATCTGCACATAAACAGCACAGCTCACTGACCTGGAACCCAAATCCGCTCAGCAGTTGATAGAGCATGAGAAAAACTCAAGGAAGGAGAGCGGTATGGGATGGACACAGGCCCGCCTATGTGAGGTTTTTTCTCTGAGCTTCTGGACCTAGGAGAACAGAAATAGCCCAGCCTCAAGAGAGGCAGATGAGCCTAAGTTCTCATCTTTGATCACTGTGTGGCCTCAGGAGATTTGCCAAGCCTCTCTGAGCACCAACTTTCTCATCTACAAAGTAGGGATAAGCATGCCCACCTCTTACAACTGGCAGGTGGGTTGGGAATAATATACAAGAAAAAGCCTTGTGCATGGGGCCTTCTGGACCTCGTGGAGGTTTCAGCTGTTAATAAATCAAAGTGGTTCTAGAAACTGTAGTCATTACAAGCACACATGTGGTGAGTCAAAGAGAATGGGCCTGCTCCCCACTTTCACCACTCACTGGAGGGCACGGGGAACCCACAGAACTGGAAGTGTCCTTCTCACTGGGCATGGATAGATGAGACAACGGACATAGGGGCTGAGTCAAGGCCTGAAGCACATCGATGGTGGCTGGGCTCCTCATCAGGCATGCTTTAGAGGGAAACCTCCTGTGTGCTCTGAGACCAGTTCTGGGCTATGGCATGGAGCCCTGGAGCCACAGGTGGAATCTCATAACTCCCCCTCCTCACCTGACCAAACAGGGCATTGTGCAGGAGGATCTGGGGATGGAGCGGGGAGGGAGGACAGCTGTCTCAGAGCAGCGACAGAGGCAGAAGATTACAGGGACCAGGCTGGAGAGTGTGTTGCAGCCCTGCCCATTTCCAGCTCTGTGCTCCTACTTGGCAGTTTTGCATCTTGGTATTTGGTTTATAAGGAGTTAACTATGAAAGGAACAACTTTCAATAGACTCTTTGCGAAGCATTAATTCATCTGCTTAGGATTTATTGAGGGCCTACTATCTGCTGGTTAGAGTTATGTGTCCTGGGTTATAGTGGGGAACATGCCAGTTAAGGTCTGTGCCTGCAGGGAGCTAATATTCTAGGGGATAAATGTAATAAACAATGACAAGCATCGAACAGTAGGATAGTCTGAGATGGTGAGTGTTCCGATGAAAACAAAAGCACAGGAATGCAAGAGAAACCAGGAAGCCATGCTAAACCCTGGGGTCAGCAAACATCTCCCAGGTGATGTGACACTGTATTCATTTAGTTACAAGGAGTGAGCCAGTAAAAAAATCTGAGGCCACAGTACCACAGATGGAGAAAAAGGGAATTAAAGGCCCTGAGGTAGGGGCAAACCTGGCATGTGTGGGGAACACAGAAAAAGTGTTTCAGAGATGAAAACAAGTCACAGCTCCTGCCTTCATGGAACCAAAGTTTAAAGACTCACATAGGTAGTTACCAAGTAGTGGAATAGTTTAAAGGAGGAGGCACAAAAAAAAAAAAAAAAAAGGAAGAGGCACAAATCTCTGGAAAAATACAAAGGGGGAACATCCCTTCCACCTAAGAGATCAGAGGAAGCTGCCTGGAGGAGATGACATCTACTCTAGGACCAAAATGACAGATAACAGGAGAGGACAGGAGGGGTTTCTAGGAGGAGGATTTTCTAGGAGGATTCTCTGGCCCTAGCATGTGCAAGGGGCCAGAGGTGGGACAGGCGCTGCTCCATTCATTAGGGGATTTACAAGTAGCTAATGTGGTCAGAATGCAGAGTTGAAGAACTGGCTATAGGGTTAGAATTGAGGGTGTCTCTGACATTTATTACTTACCTGGTGGCTCAGATGGTAAAGTGTCTGCCTACAATGCAGGAGACCTGGGTTCAATCCCTGGGTTGGGAAGATCTCCTGGAGAAGGAAATGGCAATCCACTCCAGTATTCTTGCCTGGAAAATCCCATGGACGGAGGAGACTGGTAGGCTACAGTCCTTGGGGTCACAAAGAGTCAGACACGACTAAGCGACTTCACTTTTCTGACATTTAGGAGAAGGGCCCAGCCTGACCCAATCCAATGGTTCTGATCCTGGAATTGATATACCAAGAAGGGCATTTCAAGGTCGGCAGGAGGGACCAGCATGGAGATCGGTGAAGGTGCAGCCATGGCTGGGGCAAGGAGGAGTGCTGGCGTGGGAAATGTCCATAGCAGAAAGGACTGGGCTGGGGCCAGCCTGGGGAATGGGGGAGACGGGCAGGGGGTAGAAGCTTCAGAGAATGCAGAAAAACAGATAGCCACGTCTTCTGGCTTGGTGAATGGTCAGAATGGGTTTCGATTCTTGTCCACTTCCTAGCTGTGTAAGCAGTCACTTTTCCTCTCTGAGCCTCCACTTTCCTATCTGTTTAACAGTACAACCCACATTAAGAACTATTGTGCAGGTTGAATGTGAGCATGTAGGAAAGCTCCTAGTACACTGCTGGCACTCAGCGTGTTAGTTCCCTTCCTTGACCACTGGCCTTGTGCACCCACTGTTCCCCCATAGGCCTGTTTTCTTGGCTGTAGAATGGGAACAAGAATGGCTTCCTTGCAGTGCAGTGCTGCCAGCAAGAGTTGGCTTTGCAGGCTAAGGACACACCCCACAGAGTAGGCGATCACAGATTTCATTTCCTCTTTCTCCCTCTCCAGCAGGAAGAGCCAAGACAGAATGGTGTGGAAAGGGCTGGTACTGGCTGCTTGCCTGCTCGCACTCCCCTCTGTCTCAGCGGACTGCCGGGCCCAGTGCTCCTTGTGTGCTGTGAAGACCCAGGATGGACCCCAACCCATCAACCCCCTGGTGAGTTTCAGGCACGGCTCCTCAATGCCAGAGTGCATGGAAGGGACAGTCCGTGTGTGGAGCCCAGAGAGAGAAGGTAGCAGGCCTGGGGAGCTGTGAGCCTGTTTTGTAGACTCATCCCAGACTGTGCAGAATACGTCCTACCCTGTGGTCAGTCTGGGTAGCTATGGGCAGCTGTTTTCTAGACTCCTTTTTCCTCCCCAGACCTTACCGCCAGAGGCTCACTCAGATCTGGGAGCAAAGCTCAGGTTTCCAGGGAGCCTGTTGCCTGATAACAAGGAATGTCGTTCATGAGGTGGTGTTGACTTTGGGTGTTGGCAGCCCAAGATGAACTTTTCCGGGCTTCTCATAACCAGGCTGATGGGCATTCCCAAATCTAGTCATTCTCCTGGAAGGAGCTCTTTACACCACTGCTTGGCTGGCCTTGCTGGCTTTAGTTTGAATCAAGCTCCTCCCTGTGCCTCTCCCATAACAACAGATAGCTGTAATAAAGGTTCAAGGCTCTGGTGGACAGGACATGGGCTTTGGTTCTGCCAATTTCTAGTTCCATGACCCTGGAACCCCCTCTCTGAGCCTCAGTTTCCTTGCATGCAAAATGGGAGTGATTCCATGAGCTGATGATGCAAAGTATTAACTCTAGCCACTCTTCACTGAGATGCACGCAGCGCATCATGTATTGGTTTGATCTCAGAAGTGCCCAGTGCTTAAGTATGATGACTCATGGCATTAGAACATGGGTTCAAGTTCCAGTACTGTCTAGTATTGTCATTGTGGTCACTGTTATTAACAATATCATCATCATCATGTTTGAGTCCTCCCTACTTTTTTGAAGTAGATACTGTCATCCCAGGTTTAATGAACCCTTAAACAATTCCTTATATGTGTTCTTTCCACCATTCTGCATTGCTTCTATTCCACTGTATAAAATGTTTGCAGCATCCTTTATACACAGGGAAGGTTGGGGGAACCAAGTAGTCCCTCTGGAGTCAGAAGCAGAAGATTATGGATGAGCCCAGCAGAGCAGTATGGGAAGATCTTCCTTTCAATTTTCACAGTGTCATCTGTAGCCCTGGGCCCTTGGAAAAGCTGTTTCATCTCTCCTCATCCTCCACATGGGCGTAAAGTCACTTACCTTTAAGCACTATTGGGAGCATGAAAGTGGGTGGCCTGGGACTTAGCAATGGTTTTTTAATTTTCTCAGACACTAGACAGGGGACTCTCTGGAGCAGGAGCTTGTGGCTTGACAGTTTGATGGAGGTGGCATTACCACTGTGGTCTTCTGGGGTCTTTTGCAGGTTTGCTCCCTGGAGTGCCAGGCTGCCCTGCAGCCTGCTCAGGAGTGGGAGAGGTGCCAGGGCCTTCTGTCTTTCCTCACTCCCTTCACTGTTGGGCTCAATGGCAAGGAAGACTTGGAAAGCAAGGCAGTTTTGGAAGAGTCCAGCACTGAGCCGGCCAAGCACATCAGGCCCTACTTGAAGGAACTGGAAAAAAACAGATTCCTTCTCAGCACTCCAGCAGAGGAGAATGCTCTAAGCAGCAACCTGGCAGAGAAGCTCAGGGGTCTCTCTGGCAGGCTGGGGGAGGGTGCAGAGTCTGAGTTGAATGGGGATGCTCAGCTGAACGATGGTGCCCTGGAGGCTGGAGCGCGGGATTCCGATGAGGAGGAACCCAAGGAGCAGGTCAAACGCTATGGGGGCTTTTTGCGCAAATACCCCAAGAGGAGCTCAGAGGTGACTGGGAAGGGAGCTGGGGAAGGGGAGGGGGATGAGGTGGGCCATGAGGACCTGTACAAGCGCTACGGGGGATTCTTACGGCGCATCCGTCCCAAGCTCAAGTGGGACAACCAGAAGCGCTATGGTGGCTTCCTCCGGCGTCAGTTCAAGGTGGTCACTCGGTCTCAGGAAGACCCCAGTGCCTATTACGAAGAGCTTTTTTGATGAGTAAACACCTCCCCATCATGGAGTTGAGTCAGGAGCTTCCCATAATGCCCTGGAGATTGGAGTGACCTCATTCATCCGCCCCTGTGGTCCCCATCCCCATGCTCAGTTCAGCATTGTCTACAAGACTTCCAAACCTAGTCTGCCTCTCTTCTGCCCAGATGCCGTGTTTGTCCAGGTCAGTGAGAAGGGAGGAGGGAGGTTTCCCTCTCCAGTAGATTAGTGCTTGCCTTCACCCTACATCTCTAAAACTACCAGCAGCAGCAGCTTTGCTATCAATTCACTTTATATGACTCCCCAGTCCCAGGAATCCAGACTGACCCCTTGATCCCTCTGGATCTATGATCAAGTATTCTGATCAATGCTCCTCAGAAGAAAAATGAACATTCCCCCCCCCCATGCAGATATATATATATATATATATATATATACACACACACATATATATATAGCATAAAACATATAAAAGGTAGAAATTTAAGACAAAATAGATATATAAAAATCCTAACAGTTTATTCTCAAACCTCAAAAGCTCTCCCTACTATAGAGACCATGCTTTAGGCAAAAAGCTCAAACACTGCTTTTTATTGGAGCAGGAATTCCTACACTACCGAGTTCGGTCTCCCAGTGGGTTAAACATTCAGTGTACTCTGAGTTCGTGCTGTTCAGAAACACACCTTTTGAAGAACCTGGTTCCTGGACTCCAGCCCATGTTGATACCCTGGACAGCACCCAACTTCTCACAGGAGAGGGCAGGAGTGAAAAATCTCTTTCCAAAATGGTTAATGAGAGCCACTCGCCTTCTGAATGCTGAAACAATCAAGCAGGAGTGAGGCAAACTGATTTGTTCTGTGCAACAGATTCAAACTGTGGACTGGTTCCCTCAGCCCTCATTAAACTAATTAAACTGATCGGTATCACACTCCAACCCCAGGATGAACTGACGCTGAGTCAAGTTGATGAGATTAAGCACAACCATGTTCTTGAGCAGCTGAATCCACCGCCAAGAGTCCAAGCCATCTGGGCAAGCATATGCATTGGGCCTTGGGTAAGGGAATCCAGAAACAACAGCTAGAAAGGGGGAAAAGTCCTCTTTAGCTCTCATGGCGATTCTTTCCTCTTAATGTCTCAAAATGTAACTAGAAAGAGGAATGAAATGATTAAGTGCTTGAGGCCAAATGAGTTCCTTGATTCAAATAACCCAGAAGCAAAGGAAGTGACCTTAACATAAGTCCTCTCCTCTCCTCTCTCTCTCCCTGTCTCTCTGTCTCTGTCTGTCTCTCAAACCTCTCTCTCTCTCTCTTCACTGTACTCAGGCAATATGGTTTGGTTTGTGGATCCAGGAGGCTGGTCTAGATAGGGAGGAAATGAACTTGAGTTTGGTTATTTTGTATAAGATGCTACTGAGCACACTTCTTCATGCACAACCCTCCTGCCTCTCTCATGATATTCTGAAATGTATAGATTGTTACAGAATTATTTCCTGTGCTTTTCAACATCCCATTTTTTTCAATTTACTTGGAATTTCCTTAGTTCTTAACAGGCTTGTGCTATTTCCAACTCCTTCAGTACAATAAATAAAAAAAAGATGCTGATAACTTGGGCTCTGTGTGTATATGTGTGTGTGTGTGGTTGTGGGGGGGTTACCTTAGTCCCCAAGAATGATAAGACCCTTTTCAGAAAAGAGTGCTGGGGAAAGGGGGGGAAATTTTATATATATATATATATATATATATATATATATATATATATATATATACACATACACACATATATTCAAGTTTAAGAACTAAATGTAGGATAACAGAAAGAGCACAAACTTCAGACTACCCTAGTCCTAATTTTGAAATCTGTTTGACCTTAGGTAAGTCATGTGACCTCTCTGAGCCTTTGTCCCTTCCTCTGTAGAATAAAGATGAACAATGCCAATTTTGTAAGGTGGCTGTGAGGGTCAGGTGTGATCAAATATGCAAAGCTGCTAGAACATAGTAGGCACTCAGTAAATGATGGTTTCTTTCTTATATTGCCTTAAGGAATAGTGGCAAAGCTCAGACTTATGGCAACACAGTGGGGAGAGAAAAGAGGGGTGCTGTCTCCTGTGCTGCATGACCAGGCAGGAGGGGAAATGTATCTAGCCAAGAGCGGGTATCCTAGGGATGAAGACTACTCTAGGAAATGCGGGCACAGTGTCCTTTACTAAAATGGTATCTTTCATTAAACAGCATAGATGAGATGTCTTTAATTAAGACTAGAAGATTCAGTGGCTACCGGCCTATGGGTTCTGCTTGGATACTGCTTTTCTGAGTAAATCCATAGAAAATGCAGAGTCAGGGAGATCTCATTCATTTCTTCAATTATTCAACAAAGTAGTAACTGAAGGCATTTTGCCAGGTGCTAGAGGTACAAGAAAACAAGATGGATAAGGTCTCAGTTCTTATGGAATTTTTTTTTCCATTTATTTTTATTAGTTGGAGGCTAATTGTTTTACAGTATCTTATGGAATTTATAGCCCGGGAGGAGACAGAAATAAACAAGTAGGCAAATATTAGTATAAAGCTTAAATTAAAAATAAATTTAAATAAAATTTAAAACATTGATAATGGCTGTGAAGGAGACAACTGGGACTTGGTGATAATGGAAAACTGTGGTAGGAGAAGAATCTCCCTAAGGTATACAGGAAATCCTGCTCAAGGAATATTCCATTCTTGATATTCATAAGATTAGCAAGTTGGAAAGAACATAAGGTTGAGATTATCTCCTCCAACCACCTACCCTCTGCCCAAATTGACAGACTAAGAAATTTTGATATGCTTGAACACTTACTTAGATTTCACAACATATAATTAATAATTCCATACTGGAAATTTCCATCTTTATGTTGGGTTAAAATTTAGATTTCTGTAATTTTTACCCACTGGGTCCTGATCCTGCTGTCTGCTGGCCTAGGAGATTCTCTAAGGGAGACTTTTCTGTTACATGCAAACAAACGATGCCTGAAAAGTGGAAGTGTTAGTCACTCAGTGGTGTCCAACTCTTTGGGATCCCATGGACTATAGCCCACCAGGCTTCTCTATCCATGAAGTTCTCCAGACAAGAATACTGGAGTGGATTACCATTTCCTTCTTCAGGGGATCTTCCCAACACAGGGACTGAACCCGAGTCTCCTGCAAGCAGATTCTTGACTGTCTAAGCAACCAGGGAAGCCATTCAGACTCTTCTGTTACTTGCAAGCAAATGGTGCCTAACCATCTCAAATAGATTATAAAAGCAAAGAAAAAAGGGTACTTTGTTGACTCACACAAAAGAAAGAGCCAGGATATTTAGTTTTAGGTAGAGCTTGATCCAACTGTTCAATAACGACACTAGCACCTCTCTGTCACTAGGCTCTTTTCTCCTCTGTCTTGGACTCAGTTCTAAGACTGAACATGCCTCTAAGATGGGTGACAGCAGCTCCAGGCTATCCAGGCAAGGTTCAAATCTGGCACGCTGTTTTCACAGAAAATCACAACCAAAGTTTCATTGCACCCATAGGCTGTGAATGGGTCAAATGTCCAATTCTGAGCTAATGCCAATCATTATGGACATGATGCCTTGATTGGTCAGAACTGAACCACATGATCACCACCAAAGACAGAGTTGCATTCAACCCAATTCAAAGCAGCTGAACAAGGAGGGAGAAAGGGGTGGTTCTTCAGAGAAAAACTGGAGCATGATTCCCAGTAGGACAGTGAATGAATGCCAGCCCACCAAATAGGATGGTCATCACCCAAATGAGTGAGGGTGACTGGGTGGGGACTACGGCAAACTGAAGACTGCATGCCAGGGGAACATGGGCCTGGAGTAGTCAGATTTTATTTTTAGGACTAGAAATATGGGTTGTGGGTTTTTTCAATGTAGTCAAGTAACATTTTTTAAAGGTACTGAGCAGAGCAAGCAATAATATGTTCATTACTCTCACTATTTTGTGATATTTTTAAAAAAATGAGAACACTCCTTTTTTTGGTTTTAAGATTTTCTTCATATGCTATGGATTCTAGAACACTATTGTTCTGAACTCCCTTTTTTGGATGGATTTCTTTTGGTCAAGGAAGGTTGCCCAAATAAGGTGAAAAGAGTGTGGCTAGGAAGGGGTCACAGAGACCTGGGCTCAGATCCCTTTTCACTCTGGGAAAGCCACTGTGCTTCACTGAGCCTCAGTTTCCAATCCGTCAAATGGGGAGAGAAATCCTGACTTCTCTGGACAGAGGTGAGGGGTTAGTAACAGCTGACTCACCTGATGCCCCAGGGTATGTGACACTGGTTGCTGCCTCCTCTTGAGGGGAGGTGACTCTGATTATGGTATTTCAGATGTCACCTGAGCAAGGCACACACCTGTTGAAAGGACAAAATTCTCCTGGTGGTAAGAAAAGAATATTAAAAAAAAATTTTTTTTTTTTAAAAAATCAAGCTATAGTTGCTGTAAAGTGTCCTTAATCTTAAGTGTGTGACTCAACGGATTCTTACATATGTACACTCTCGTGTGACCACCACTCAGATCGCAATGTAGAACATTTCTAACATCCCAGGGGGGTGATCTTTTTTCATGAGCTATTTGCGGCAATGGAGAGCAAGCCAGAGGAAGAATTGGAATAAAGACATCACAGGCATTGTGGAGTTCTGGTTCTTTGTCCACATCACCAAGGTCACACTGGGCAGTGATCACAGAGCAGGCATGGGTTAAGGGATGCCAACATCCCAGTGGCCTTAAAAGAGTGTATTCCTAATAAGCTTGGCGTTTCCACGGCAACGCCATACACCAACGCCAGGGAGGAAAGTCTTGTCATAATGATCATGACAATCCTAATGATCCTGCTTGTTTGGATCACCCCTCCCCCACTCAACTCCAGATCCTTCACACTAACAGCCCAGCCAATGGGCCTTGTCTATTAATTAAAGGTCCCAAAGCTGAAGACAACAAAATCCCCATGACAGTGTCAGAAACAATGGTGCCCTAATAGATG